CCAAACTATTTTTCCCATTATTCAAATAGAAATGTTAGTTAATAAAAGGAAACACAATTTTCCTCTTCAGCCTCTTCCCCTCGTTGCCTGCTGCCAAAAAAAAAAGGGGGGGGGGAGGGGAGGAATTTGCTTCATATTATTATCTTTACTTATACTTTGGTTGCTTTCCAGCAACAGACTTTTCCCCCAGCTGTGCTTAATTGTCAAAGATTCAAAATACTTAGAGGGAGTGTAATGTATTTGCTGTAATCCTGGCCGTTGTTGGCCAAATTCTGGAAACTGACTGCATGTAAAAAGTAGCAAAAACTTATGATTATTCTGAATTTCAGCTTCTCTTCTTTCACTGTGTGGATAGAACAACAATGAATAAATTAATTTATACTCACAATTATTCTTAGTTCATTGTGGAAATCCAAGAATCCTTTTATGCAAAAATGGATTAATGGAGAAAGTAACACATTCAATAAAGAAATAGAACACAGTTTAATTGGGAAGCCTTGTATCCACTTTATTCAGTCCATGTGGAAAATCAGTGATGTTATAATAAGGCAGCTACTTAACTAAGGCTTAATAATCATACTGTATACCATGCAAAACAGCAAAGCTTATAAATAGATGTAATATTTAAAACTTCTCAAAACTGGGTTTGAACTGTAGTGATAATCTGAAAAGAGACAGATGTGAATTACGTGTTTTACAAAATTGTTTTTATATGATTATTGCTTATCTGTTAATTTTTTTTACATATTTTGTCACATATGATGTGTAAACTGATTTGTATGTGTGCACGGGAAATACAGTTGGACCTGCATTACATTGGTTGATCAATAACTTAAAAAAAAAAATAAAGCTGCTAGTAATCATAATTGTTAAAGTAGATTCCTCTCTTCCCACTTCCAAAACCTGTATCTGTTCATTTAGAGTAGAAATTCCGTTCCCTAAATTAACGCCATAGCAAATTTAATGCTTTTGAGGCATTGAAATGCAATCTTTGGATTGGTAATTTACAGTTTTGATTTACCGAAAGCTAATTTTAAACTTGTACATTTAAAATGTACATTTTGTTTTGGCAGTGTTTTGTTAATCTACATGCCAGTCTCTGGTCCGTGCTTCAGCAAGTGGTCAAAGATGGTTCTCCTGTGTTGCACAGAAAATATGTAACTGTACAAAAATTAAGAATTGTGATGCTGTGAAAATGAATTTCAGTGCCAAAGGAAGTCCAACCTTTAAATTCGCACCATTCAGTATGGTGGATGAGCTGGCAAATTTAGTGCACAGCACCTTTTAACTGGGAAGGATACTGAAATTAAGTAACTTTGGATAATTGGATGATTGATACTTTTTTTTCATTACTATTGAATAAAATGCTGAGTTGCAGAGAAGTGGGGATGACAATGTGATGTTACGAAAGCTCTGTATTTTCTCTTTCAGCAAAAGTCAGTTGCAGTCTTGTCCCTCTGTTTGTCTTGCAGTGGTCCAATCTATGCTGTCAAGTCAATGACATCTTTCTCTTCTGGGGGGCCATTAGGAGAATAGCTGAACAGCTGGGTTGTACATGCTAACTTCTGAATTTATAGCTCCTGATAGTGTCCTTCAAAATCTGAAAGAAGAGGAAACCACTTTGCACTTGTGAAGACAAACTGTAAAGTTTTCTAATGTGTCCACCCTTAGCCTTTAGGCTAAGCATGCCAGGATAAGTCATTGAAAGTGTCTGCAAAGGGAGAGAGCTAAAAATTGAGGGAAACTTGCAGTTTTGTTCATGATTCAAACCTTGTAAGCATTTTCCCCCTTCATGTCAGTATGAAAGAGGAGTTAATGGTAAGGGAAACCCATATCATCACAGAGCAGTGTACAGAAACACAAATTCATTGGCGGGCCTTTAATTAAATGCATTGCTTTTACAGCTTCATGAAGGATTAGGTGTGGGTTTTCAGTTACTTCCTTGCTGGCAAAAAGCTTGAGTAGGAAACAGTGAAGCCATAAGGCGGTAGGTGTAATGATTTGCATTGATGTGATCGGACCACTATTCTTACCAATCATTGAATGGCTCCAGACAGGCAGATTGCAAAACTTGCTGTACTATCACAAACATTGTTTTTGCACATTAGTTATATTGAACGCTTGCTTTAGCTATCAGAAACGTAACTTGCAAATAATCAAAGCATGCATGCATGCACGCACATACACCGGCTGACTCATCAAGTTGAATTGCTAAGTAGTTGCTGCTATTTCTGCGTTCTGAAAGCAGTTCCTCTTGGACATCTTCTGCCATGTCTCTAATAAAGCACAGAAGAGTGTTGTTTGAATAAAGGCATGCTTTTCAGTGTGATAGCTTCTTCAGATCCTATGTCCCTAAAAGAACCAAACAAACCCCATGTCAGTTACACAGGGAAAGATGAATTTTTTTGCAACAGTTTTCCCTTTCTACTGCTATCTAATTCAAATGGGTACCCAATAAGATGCTTAAAGGGTATTTCCTATTGATGCTGCCAGTTTGAGTGATCAGGTCTTGTTGACGTCTTCAAAGTTTCAAGTTTTCTCGGGGGAAAAAAAATCCTCAGATTTATTGTTCACTGATGGATGCCTGGTTTCTAAATGTCACAACAACTTGGAAGGTTTAATACTCTCACCAGCCAGCCCTACAGAATGCACTACAAGTTGTGGTTTTGAATCAGTCTATGTAAAACTGTGTGTCATGCTTGTAGTCAAATTTCATTCTGAGGTGTAATTCAAATAACTTGTATGACTTTGCGAAAAGGACATCTTTCAGAATCATTCCTCAGCCAGAACTGAGCTCCCCCAAAGAATGAACAACCTATGCAATACAGTTCTGTTAGACTCAGCAGTGCCTTCGTGATTACCCTTGACATGCCTGGTGTTCCAATTCAGTGCATGCTGTGTGCCTGGGTACTCTCACTTCGTGTTGTACATAATAATGGAACTTGTACTTGTTTGTGCCTGGATTTGCCTTATTCAAACGCTGTGCATATTGTCTTATTAGAAACGGTTCTGTCACTCTGCTGTATGCACTTATATACTGCACTGTACCACTTGCTGAATTTCTCAGTTTACGGTAGTATGGTAGTCTTACAGGAACACACATTATTTTGCTCATTCCCATTTATCATTTTCAGAGTGTTGAATAATGTTTTTGGAAAATGTGCCCCCCCCCCCCTTTTTTTTTTTTTTTGTATGTGACTTCTTGTGACCTGTCTAAACAACTTTAGACCTAAAGTTTGGGAAACCCTCTTTTAAATCGTTAAAATTAATTTTTTAGACTTTTTTTTTGCGGGGGAGAGGAAGGAAGGTAGAAAGATAAGGTAACAAATTTGTTACTTAAAATGGGATTCCCCTCTTTCTGTAAAAATGCCTCCTCTACTTCCATAGAAGTACTATGCCTGCACTAAATATTTTGCTGTAAATCAATAATGTGGGTAGATAAAGATGTTAAGTTTGAAATCTGACTTTGTTAGAAAAAAACACTCAATGTTATGCGGAGCTCTAAATGACTGGGTGTGAGGGAAATTTTTATGCAGTGTTTGTAAAATGAACCTAAACAAAATTAACAGTTTAAATTTGATTTAAATTTTTGTTTGGAACACTTAAATACAGTTCCTGACACAGAATAAAAAATTTATTTTCCAGTCTGTCCCCTTCCCCCCCCCTCCACATATGAGTTTCTGAAGGACATGGTATGGTACAAATGCAATGAATAGTCTTGAGAGAGCTGAACTTCTGAGGTGACATTTTAAAGTGTAGATCAATTTAACAGGCACTTGGATTTCTAGTCTCAGTGTAAGCCTTTTATATAAGAACTCTCTCTTTTCTGGAAACAAAAGTGCTATCTTTGTAAGAATCTGCAGACCTATACAGACGCAATGGCCGTCATCAAACCATGTGCAATTTTTGACTCCATAAATGCAGGTCTCTCTCTGGTGACCTAACAGGTTTCTTTAGCCTGTAGCGGGAACTTACAGCTATAGGTAAGTCTACAGTTTTTTGTTAAGTTGATAGCAATGTTATAATGGCATGTATATGAATATGTTTAGAGTGCCAACCTTGGTGTCTAGCTAGGTATTTTATGTGCCCTCATCACAACAGTACCTGAGCAACTATAGAGAAGGCTAGTTGCATTTTGTGATAGCAGTTTAAAAGGGGATTTCGTTTGTGATGTTTCTCTGTTTTAAAAACTTGTTCTTACTAACTTCCATTTCAGTACAAATGTTGCTGGAATGTTCATGACGCTGTGTGATACTGGTGGTTGAGTATAATTAAATGGATATGTTACATTTGAAACATCTCTTTTCTTGGTTACTGCCTTTCAATAGTTTTATTCGTGGGTTACATATGAAAGTTATACCGACTGTACAGAAACAAGTATGTGGTAGGCAAACTAGGATGCAAAAAAAAAAAAAAAGACATTTGATCAGATAACTAAACACGGCATGGTGGGCCTCAGTTTGAAAGAAGACTTCACAGAGTTTTTGTAGCTCTGCTTTTTCCCCTTGCTTTAGTACTAATTAACATTTTATATAATGTCTTTCATTCCAAGCTGCTTCAGAGTGTGTACGTGCAACACTGTTAAAAAGGAGCCTACTTTAGATTGGAGGGCAGCAGCAAGTGAGCAAATGGTGCACAGCACACTGGCCTCAGTTTCCCCTTCAGATACTGTTTGAACACTACTCTCCTAGGAAAAGGTGTCCATGTGATCTTCAATGAATGTATTGAGACCTGTTTTCTTTTTTGAAGATCTTATCTGAACTACACACACCGTAGGATAGTGAGCGGCATGTTAGTAATTTATCTCCTTTGAAAGAGCTGAGAGGGTCTTGCTGAGATTTGAAACTGTGACTTCAGGTTATCTAGTTAACTTCCAAAGGCTGCCTTTTCTGGAGTCATTGAATTAGCCCTTTTATACCATGTCTGTGAAACTACTAATGCCTTAAGTTGTAATAGCCTGACTTACATTAATGTATGTCATTTTTCCCCCCCACCTAAAGCTGCACCGCTGCTGCTGTATGCAAACCGACGTGATCTGCGATTGGTGGATGCTGCAAATGGGAAAGAGAACGCTACAGTTGTAGTGGGTGGTTTGGAAGATGCAGCCGCAGTGGACTTTGTGTTTGTCCGGGGGTTGATATACTGGAGTGATGTAAGCGAAGAAGCCATTAAGCGAACAGAATTTAACAAAACTGGGAGTGTACAGAATGTGGTCATTTCTGGGCTTTTGTCACCTGACGGGTTGGCATGCGATTGGCTGGGAGAGAAACTATACTGGACGGATTCTGAAACAAATCGGATTGAAGTTTCCAATTTAGACGGATCTTTGAGAAAAGTTTTATTTTGGCAAGAATTGGATCAGCCCAGAGCAATAGCCTTAGATCCTGCAAGAGGGTAAGTCTTTGGTTGGTTTTTTTTTTTTTTAAATCTTTGGCATGTCTTGGTCATTAATTATTGAAATTCAGCGTGCTTATTAAAGAGATCTGAATATTCCCAGTTATGCTGTGACCTTTAAATATGGTACTGTCCTAAGCCAGTTTGCATATCAGATGGTGGTCTTGTTTTTCTTGCACTTACTGTGAGATGTGAAAATAATAATCTGCAATATTGCTGATTATTTTTGTGTATGTGTAGGTGGCTTGCTGTCTGAACAACAAACTGTCTCTGTTTAAAAACATCAGATGTGCAAGCAAATATGTGAGAAGAAACTATTGTTGTTCTGGTAGCAGTGCAGAGGATGATAATTCATTTGGTTCTGATTAACATGTGAAAACAGATGTAGTCTGTTTGTAAAGCCAACACCTGCCTATGGAGCTGTAATATACTGTATTGCTGCTGTGGTCTGAGCAAAGACAAAAAAAAAAGTTATTCAGCATTTTTGTTACTATATAGTGGTAACATTGTAATACGTGAGAAAAACCAAAAATAATAATGTTGAGAGAGAGAGGTTTCAGCACTCAATTAGAAAATACATTTATTGCAAACATCTGACCCTAGTGCTGTTGGGAAATTCTGTTGTAATAAAAACAATGATGCAGTAGAACTGGCTAAGGCTAGGCATACTACACGCTTTCTTGTTCTTAACTCCCATCTCAAGGTCTGGTAGTGGACCTTAGTCATGACTTGCAGTACTCTCTGTTTATTCCCTTTGAGGGCCTCTCCTAAATGGTGGCCATCAAGCATGCTAAATTCAATGGTAGTTTTGTGATGTAGATGAATGTCCACTGAAATTTAGGATGAGTCCACGAAATGCATGGTTGCTTGTGATGTTTTTTCTAAAACCTGATGGTCTCCAGAAGTGAAAGACTGGTGCAATAAGCTAGTGGCCCACTTAACCCAACATTCATTTTCTTAAAAATTGAATAGGGTCTATTATGCAGAGTAGCTTACAAATTTAAAAAAGTGTTTATTTTTTATCTGAGCAAGAAAGTTCATCTGTATCTGCAATATTAAGAAGACCGACAGAGTGGGTACTTTTATAAAAGGGTCTCTGCCGCACCTTTCTCAGTTTTAGATGTTTGGGGGTATTGTTGGGTAGAATGTTGGATGCTTTGGTTGCTGATTCTGAATTTGTTCTTATAGCCATACTACAATTTAAAGAGAAGCAATCTCATTTTTAGTTTATTTGACGGCATAGTTTGGTTTGCAAGTATAGGAATCTATATAGTAAAATGTGCTGTCATATTTAATTACTAAACTTCATCGATAAATTGTAAGAAAATTTTTTTAAGTTCTTTCCCCATATAATTTTGAGAGGCTTATGGACAAGATATAATAATAATAAAAGTACTTTCTCCACATTCCACGCACGCATATATCAACAGGTTTTGAAATAAATGGACACAGTTGTAAACAGCAAAAAGAAGATGGAGTTCTCCTCCCTGCCCACCAATTGCTTTGAAAGTTTTTAAACTCTGACACTGAAATATAAACTTAATACACCAGTTATCTACAACCCTAAAACAATAAAAATACTGAAGGAAGCAAATAAAAATATAAAGCCCACCCAAAAAAGAGAAGGGGAAAAATAAGGCAAATATGTTTGGGATAGGTTTACCAGCAATTGGTTGCACTACATTATGTTAGTGTTTTCTTTATAAAAATAGGTAGAATTCATATGCAGAACATCAGGAATGAAATTTGTATAAAAACAGAATTAGTAAGCTTTTGTGGCTTGTCAAGGTTAGTGTGGTTTCTGTTGACCTAGTCAAAGATAGTGTCTGTGCGGCAATCAAGTTAGCAATTTGTTTTGCAATGGAAGGGAAATTTTGTCCAAACTAATAGAAACCAAACTTTAGCAAGCCATTTGGGCTTTGCAAGAGGCATGCATATTGTCCAAGTATGCACAATAACTTTCTTGGTGGCTAGAATTGGATGAGTATATAGATTATTTCTCACAAGGTTTACATGAGAGTAGAACTGTAAAAAGAAAAATTGAAGGAGCCAAAGATACACTTTTTGGGGGGGTCCATTAGACCAAAAATAAGCAATATCAGGACAAGTCCACTATAGATGGGCAAAAGTGCTTTCCATAACCTTTCCGGAAGTCTGACTCCTAAGGGCCTAATTAATAGTTTATTCTCTGATCGCAATCTTTCCATTTTTAATTTAAATCTTCACGTAATTGAAAGGCAAGAAAACATTTCCAAATCTTACTACAGTTCTTGTCAGTACAAGTTCAAGACAAGAACCCTTTCAAAGACTGAGTTTTAAATATAAAGGAATATTCTCTCTTCTGACTCTCCAATAAAACTGTTCCTGGTGAGATTTATTGATATGCTAGTAACTAAGTTGTAAGTTGTGAAATAAAGGACATGTTTCATGGTGATTTATTTAATATTTTGCAGAGATTGATCAGTCTAAAAATCTGAAAAATGCTAGCAGTAATTTTATTCTTTAAAATATGTTGGAGAGATGCCATTTTTGCAAACTGATCATATGTCAAAACTTCTCCTGAGCATTAAGGATGAGTGGCATCAGCACAGGGATGGGAATATAGAAAGTATGAAAACTACCTTTTCTGTTTCAGTAGCATTTATTAATTTATTACTGCATAGATAGAAGTACCAGTGTGCTGTCTGGGAGTTTTATCTTTGTGTCCATCAGCTGGTGTGTGGAATCAGCAGCGAAGAGGACTAAGAACAGCAGCCTAACAGTAAAATCTAGAACTTGAAAAACAAAGCAGTCTCTTCTCCGTGGAATCCCAGCCTGTGGCTCTTTTTATACACAGCTGTTTCTTACTCCAAATTAAATAATCTGTAAATGTTTGCAATTTAAAATGAATTGTCTTGGCAATTACATAGGGCTTAATGAAAAAATCAGTTAATGCATAATGACCCTTTTCGTAACATTAATAAATCCATCTAATATAAAGTGGCACATATAACAAGTTTCTGATTTTAGCAAAACCTTTTTTTTTTTTTTTTTTTTTTTTTTTTTTTTAAAATTTTTAATATTTATTTTTTTTTTTTTTTTAGAAAAACTTTTTTTTTTTTTTTTTTTTTAAATTTCTCTGGCAGTGTTGAAAACCTTCTTGTTAATACCTTGGGAACAGAAAAGTGATATTGACCATTCTGGCTTTTTGGTCAAGCTGAATTAAGTAGTGAAAGGTGTTTATATATTTAAAAAAAAAAAAAAAAAAAAAAAAGAATTAAATTAAAATTTTTGTGCAGTTAAAGCAATTTAATTTTATTTAGCTGTTGCATCATGACTTCTTGGCAGTGCCCCATTTAATAGAAGTTAAATTGTAATAGGATTTTTGAGTTTTTAAACTACAGTTCTCAAAACAAATCTCCCCTACCCCCAATTGCCCTAGTTTTTCAGGCCAGTAAGAACTTTGGAATGACGCTCTTTGTATTGTTGTCACCCATTGTCTTCCCCAAAGCTGTGTTGACCAATCTGGGGAATGGCATGCTCTTGTAGGGAGTGTCACCGCAGTGGTGGAGGTGGTGGGAAAATAAATGGATGGGGTAACTGCCACTATCACTGCCAAACCTCCTCATTTTATGTATATTAACATTATTGGTAGTTTATACATGGGGACAAAGTCTGATTTTTTTTTTTTAAACTTGGGATTTTTACTTAAAGAAAGCCAGCATAACTTAAAATATGTAGAGATCTTGCTAGCCAATTGTGTGAACATTGGGGCATGGCTTAAGGTTTTCATTTCACATGCTGCAATTTATTATTTGACACAGTTTTTCATCTTTCTGGCAGTGGAATAAACTGTGTATGTGTGGTTTGGAGGGAGGGGAAAGGGATATTCTAGTAATTTGAAATCAGTGGGAGTTTTCAATACTGTTTTTCAAAAAATTATCTTTGACCAAGTCCCAATCTACCTTTCTGGAACTGTGTGTTTTGTCTGACCTGCATTAAAACTTAAGCTGTTCTTAATAGCGGTGCAGTTGATGATAATGTGTAAAAATGTTTCAGTGTAGACAAAATTTTTTTAGTTTTATAACAAAAAAATCAACACCACAAAGTTGGTCATATAGTCTCAAGAAAAGTGTTACCAAGACCAGCTAGCTTTTCTCGCTTCTAGGTATACTGTGAGGTGAAAAGGAACTTTGTGTCCTCTGGAAGCTCTGACTAATGCAGGGGTCTCAAACAAGCTCCCCCCGCCCGCGCGCCCCCCCCCTGCCCCTCTGCCTACCCCTGGCGCCGCGAGCCCCGCACCGCTCCCTGAAGCGGCTGGAACTATGTCCCTGCAGCCCCAGGCGGCGGGGGGAGTGGGGGAGAGTAGAGGGCTCCATGCTCTCGCTTCCAGGCAATTGCCCCCCGCAGCTCCCATTGGCCGGGAATGGGGAACCGCGGCCAATGGGAGCTTTGGGGGAGGTACCTGGAGGAGCAAGAACAGCACATGGCGCCGTCCCCCCCCGGGGACTCCGGCCGCTTCCTGGAGCGGAGCAGAGCGGAGTGGGGCCAGGGCAGGCAAGCAGGGAGCCTGCCCTGGCTACGGTGCGTGGTGCTGCCACCCTGGAGCCGCTCTAGGTAAGCGGCACCGGGCCGGAGCCCGCACCCCAACTCCCTGCCCTGAGCCCCCTGCTGCACCCTGCACCTCGA